TAGCCTTGTCGGAATCCCGCCACGCGATCAGCCGTTGAAATCCCGGCCCCCTATGCCCATGAATGATGTGGAATGGACCTTGGTCATACTCACATCGGCCAATTCGCACTGGTTTGTAATCTACGGGAGGACAGGTGCAATGCTTGCAACGATGTGTCAGCATGAAGGAATGAATGAAGAAGGAATTCTTCATTCATTCCTTAAAGTGCTCTAAGCTAGTTTTGTATGTTGGAAACTTTTTTCGATTTTCCACTAAAATAGATGTCAGATGGAGTATTTGTAATTTAAGTTGAAATAGCAACATCATAAACACTTTTACAGCCACTTATCTGTGGCATACACATTTCGCAGTGATATATGTATCTATTATCGCGCTATTACTTGTTTTATTCGTTTTATATTGCGTATAAAATTGTGTAGCGTGGTCCTACTGAAGGCGATTTGCTACGACACGTTCTTTACGTATATATTTATGAATCATTGACAAATGAATTATTTTTCATCCCCGAAAGTATGTTAGCTTAATACTATTTTCATTCCATCGAAAACACCACCACATCGAATTTCGGCACTGCATTTTATTAATAAAATAGTTTTACAAAAATATATTAAAACACCCGAGGAAATGCTGCCTTTTTCAGACTCTTGCAGAGTTTGCTTAGGGTTAAATAAGTAAGGTAATCCCTACCTTATAGTATATGAGGGCACGGCTGTGTGCATGGCCATCCTTTCTCGAAGCCGCTTGGGTCATTTTAAACCCCTATAACTTCGTTATGGATAAAGCTAAGAAGTCTGAATTTTGTCACTATCAGATCTTGTTAGGTTAGCTTATTACGTAATAACTAAGACAGAAGGTGTCTTAAGTAGGAATTTAATAAATTAACCGACTTATTACATGGATCTCACAACTTTTTACGGTAGAAAAATTGCGTTGCGAGACTTTGTTTTTTTTTACAAGTTTAAACAGACAGGGCATCAAATAATTCAAATTGAATAAGTTGCTATCACTGCGACCACACATTATCCGATGTATGCAAACTTCGTCGTAAAATATTTACTGATTTGATAGTGGAATAAAAGTGTCATTATCACTTTATTGTCACTTTTATAGGCGCGAGAACATGTTTATATGGTAGAATATTACTTGCAAATACTATTTTTATGTCTTTGCAATATTTACCCGTTATAGTTATTTTGATTTTTGATAAATAATTTTCATTTAATTTATTTTTATATATTGTGTTGTACATGCTTGGAGTATCCCATGGAAAATCAGTATTGATGGTGAAAGCAACTTAACCCTGAGTTGGGCTCATATTTGACTAAAGAAATAGTGTTCTAAGTATAATTAATAATAAAAATAAAAAAAAAAAAAAAAAAAAAAAAAAAAAAAAAAATTTTAAAAAATAAAAAAAAAAAAAAAAAAAAAAAGTTGAGGGGGGGGGGGGGATTTTTTTTTTTTGTTTTTTTTTTTGGAAAAAAACGTAGGTGGTATTTAATTACATTTTATTATTAAAATTACATATTATTTTTTTTCCTTTCAATCAAATAAACGTTTTATTAAGCCAATAGTGTTTTTTAAGTGGGTAGTTATATTATTTTTGAACTCAACCTGAATTTACTCATACATATTTCAGATACTTATGTGAGATCTTTAAATCATTTATAACATATATACGAGATACACTTTTCGCTGACCTCTTGGTCACAGTCTTCTGTTTAAATAATATAAAAAAATCACAGAATAAAGCAACAATAAAATTAGCAAATATGTATGTGTAAATTAAACATGTGTAATGGTTGATAATCTGGTGTAGCACGAATATTGTCGGCGCGTGTTTGCTGCGGTCGACTAAAAAAAAAAAAAGGAAGGAAAAAAAAAAAAAAAAAAAAAAAAAAAAAAAAAAGAGAGGGGAAGGGGGGGGGGGGGGGGGGGGGGGGGGGGGGGGGGGGGGGGGGGGGGGGGGGGGAAAGGGGGGGGAAAAAAAAAAGGAGGGGGGGGGGAAAAAAAAAAAAGAAAAAAAAAAAAAAAAAGGAAGGGGGGGGGAGAGAAAAAAAAAAAAGGGGGGGGGGGGGGGGGGGGGGGGGGGGGGGGGGGGGGGGGGGGGGGGGGGGGGGGGGGGGGAAGGGGGGGGGAAAAAAAAAAAAGGGGGGGGGGGGGGGGGGGGGAAAAAGGCATCTTTGCTTCTAGGGTTGTCACAATAAAGTATCACTCATAAAGGTAGAACAAATTAGTCCTACTACTCCGCTGGCTGACTCCGAAACTAAAGAATAATAAGGGGGCAAACGAACCTTCGGGATGCCCAAAGAGGGCTGTCACCGCAGCCCATGGACGCATTTTAGTGGGTTCGTAGCCAGCTTTTGAGGCAGAAGTACACTCTAACTTTGAATACACTAATAAATTTAAATTGTACATTATTGCGTTTAAAATATGTATTTTCAAGCATTGTAGTACTTAACAATATATACTGCTCAAAACAATTAGCGGAACAAGATTTTTCTCCTTTCTATTGCTTAAACTATAATTAGATTTAAATTAACTTGTACGCTATTTTTTACCTTGTTAATTTGTTAATTACTACAATTAATAAAAAATATGTAAATATAATACAAATTGATGTATTTTTTTTATTAAAAAAAAATTAAAATGTGCATTGTAGACGAAAAACAAAGTGACGTCTTTGAATTTTCATTACTTTCTAATCACAGAAAACACATTTTAAGTAGTTTTTTTCAATCTTTTGAGTATTAATAGAAATTGAAGTGAGCCTTTTGAGTATTGTTATTCATTGAAGCGAGTGAGTTTAGGTCATAATGCCAGATCTGACTGAATTGCATGTCTCCCGAGCTATCGCTTTGCTTGAAGAGGGTCGAACTATGCGTTATGTAGGAAATGATCTAGGAGTAGCCTCTTCTGTTATCTACTTTAAATCTAATTTTAGTTTAAGCAATAGAAAGGAGAAAAATCTTGTTCCGCTAATTGTTTTGAGCAGTATATATATTTAATTATAAATTGTTTGTGACAACCCTATCGTCACCCCTGTTGACGGTACTCAGCGGTGGACCTTTGATGGATTCCCGTACGCGGAGTGAAATAACTTAAACGGAATTTTCACTTTTAAATTTTTCCTTTGTGCCAGCAAAACCTCGCAGCGATACGAACAATATGAGGTAAATTTGTGGTTCACCTCATACATTGAGTAATACGGGGGAAATTATTATACAATGCGTTTAACATATTTATTTAGAATTAAAAAAACAAACATGTGGCACTCGGGGACTGCCACGGTAAATCATAGCATTTTTTACCAACTTATGTAATTATTTATTTATCCAGTTTTTTTTCTCTGATATTAATTCAATCTACCACTCTACCAGACTCAGACTAACGTATTTAACTACTATTAATCAAGTCTCAAAATCGTTTTATCGCACAATATCCAAGAATTAGACCATAGACAGAAATCGACAATGACAATCAGTAATGACAGCTTAAAAATGGTTGCCATTTAAAGAAGTTAATTGAAATAGTTTATTGCATTGTACATGACAAGGGATTTTTTTATTGATCATGCTACAATAAATTCAAAACAAAGAAACGTTTTCATCCTAACTCTCCAATAACGTTTTATTTCAATCCGTTCCTAGGTTTTCCCGGCTGGCTCTTAATTTCCCTAATTTCCTCGTCGCGAGCTGCACTTAATTCCATAATTAAGAAGAGAAATCCATTGTAATAAGATATATTCCACTTTACGTCTTCAAAGTTTAAAGTGTAAGAATAAAATTCTTAGCAAATGTTGAGATTAATTGTCCAGTGTGGTGCTGTGTTGTCGATGATTTTGTCGTAGAAATATTGAAAAAAATTATGGTTACATAGCTTTTTATTTTTTACCTCTGGACAGGCAGTCACTAAAGAATACACTTCCTTTAATAATAATTAATAACAGATCAATTATCAAATAATGTAACATATTAAGGCGTTATAGCATCAATCAGTTCGACTTTAGCTCTCAGAGCTTCCGTTTTTCCTATGTGAAGTTTGACATATTTACATACAGTTCACAAGATGAGATGCTTACTACTTACTAGCTTTTAGTTTAATAAAAATTAATAATAGATCAATTATTATTAAGTAAATTTACATATTGAGGCGTCAGAACGTTAATCAGTCATGACTTTAATTTTAAGAGCTGTCAAAGCATTTTTCTTTTATAGTTTGTCATATTGTCAGTTCACAAAACGAGATTGAATATAGAATTAGAAAATAATGGCTGTACCATTTCTCATTCTCTGTTTCATTTCTTAAAAATATTATTTATAAGTATTAAATTACAAATCAAACTTACCGTTTAATACGACTACGATTACCGTGCAAGTAAATATAAAATAAGAACGTCTGAAATAATATCGATAAACGACCAACACTAACTTTATCTTAAGTCTCAGGCTTACCATACAAAGTAGGCGAGCGTTGGCCAAATTTCCACAATTGTAGTCATCTTGGCTTTATATTGTAGCCAACTTTCTGAATTATAGTTGTTCAGGGTGCCGCGTCGTAGTAATGGAATGTATCTTTCGGATTTAACATGCAAGTTACGGGTAAAAAATTATTGAAAATAAGTGCGATATTTGTTCAAAAAAATTATTTACCATGTATATAAACGCTTGCTTTGATGCTAAGCGTTTGTTACTATATGTCAAGTGAAGCATGATGTAATGGTTAACCAAAAAATTAAAAGACTAAAATCAGAGGATAATTTCTCAACAGTTCATCTGTTCTCTCTTCCCGCCCTACGCCCTTGATTTGGCAACTGGCAGAAAATGTAACTTTAGATCTTTTTTTTTAAATATTATTCATACTTACACACCTATGTATAGTTGTTCATTACCAATTCATAAGATCCTCTTTTACTCCTTATAATAGCTAGAACAATATTGAAATCACCGTATTACAGATGTGTGTTAAGCTTTTGTGATAACAAACGTTCAATTGTCTCCAGAAACCGCCTTGAAAGCAACGCAGAACACTGGTCAGCACTTCTGTTATCGCTGCGGGAGTTGACAGAGTGGGTGATAAGGAAGGAGACGGAACTTAACGCTCTGGCTCCACCGAGAGGTGATCTTACAGCACTTATAAAACAACAAGTGAGTTACCTGTATTGTTTCTGTTTAAATTTTTTTTATATTATTATTAGTAATAGTTAGGTAACTAATATGTATTGTAAATACTGTATATTTGTGTGTTGGGAATTAATGTCAAATCTACGTAAAATTAATTTAAAATTGTATGACTTTTGTTTTGATAATATTGTAAATTATTATTTATAAGTTTAGTTTGTTAAGTCTATTTTTAATAAATATAATATCTAGGTGATATCCAAAGACTAAATAAACTCTACCTAATATAAAAAAAATACTAATTCATTAATGGCATTACTTTATACTTTAGGTATTTGTATATCAATTACCTATTATGTCTTAAGCTTGTGTATAATTTATGCAAAAAGAGTTAAAATAATTAAAAGTGTTATAGAAAATGAATGAGTGAGACGATGTGCCGTATAATCGCGTTAAATCAGCTGACCAAATAGCCACCATTTTGGTCAAGAGTTCACCACAAAATGGCCGTGTCACCTTAATTGTCCCACGGAAATGTGCATTTAGATTTATTGTAATGATTCATACATTCACGGAATTCTATTCGTAGTTTTAAATTATGAAAATGTGTGAATAGATCTCATTGCAAAGTCCATTCAATTCAACCGCTAACTCTTGTATTTATTCTGAATTACCAAGTTTTAAAATAATAACTAATTTATGTCTCGCATTTAATATACTAAAATATCTCAGACTAAGCAGTTAGTGTCGATATAGATCATAATTTATCATCATTGCCACAATTTATAGCGTTCGCGCCATTCAGCCAACTAATAACGCGTTCTTTATCGACATTTTTGAGATAGTTGCATCACTAGTAGCTGCCAACTATGTGGAAATTATCGATTAATTATAAATATTTTACTTGCTGTTTAGCAATTAAATTGTATATCTCAGTAATAATAACATGCTAGAAAGAAATTCGCCTATAATTGAGACTTTTGGCACCCACTTTTTTTCCCTTTTGGGTGGAAATGTCTCAAAGGCAAGGTACTGTCGACTAGGCCTGATTGTTATAATTAAATCTTATTTCAGGACGATCACCGTGCATTCAGGCGACAGTTAGAAGACAAACGACCTGTGGTGGAGAGTAATCTCCTCAGCGGAAGGCAGTATGTGGCTAACGAACCACCATTATCAGACACAAGTGACACGGAAGGTGAGTCTTTGAGAATGCTTTCCTCATACACAGAATCTTTTTTCATTTGTTTATTCCAGCGAGTATTAAAACAGAGCAGAGATGGCCTAGTGGCTTCGTCCCTGAGGTCGTAGGTTCGATCCCCGGCTGTGCACCAATGGACTTTCTTTCGATGTGCGTATTTAACATTCGCTCGAACGGTGAAGGAAAACATCGTGAAGAAACCGGCTAGCCGACCGAAAACGTCGAAGGCCTACCTACTTGCGTATTAGATTAACAAATGATCATGAAACCGATACAGAAATCTGAGGCCCAGACCTAAAATGTGTTGTAGCACCACTGATTTATTTATTTATTAAAACAAACTTACTTAAAAATCATACAAATTCTTTAAATTCAGGCAACGCTCTTGCGAGCCTTTTTTCCGGTGTGTCCAAGGGCGTCACGTCACTCCAGCCCGTTTGGCCCCTGTTCCATTCCTGAAAAAACACGCGACACGATCCGTCATTAAAGTTAACAACCGAATGAAACGCCATGGTATCGTCTTTTTTTTTAACCTATTTTTGTGGTAAAAATTAATCTACTAGGTCAAGTCGTATTTACCAATATGCGTGGATACGAACGATTCAATTACGTACCGTGATTGGTTCTCCGTCACACGGAATTCACAATCACCGCTCAACTTGTTAATGGCTGTATTTTGTTCAAATTTGTTTTACGGTTTACATACTACCATTTGTTGGGTTCGTTCTATTTAAATTTATTTAATAATTTCTTCTGAGCATGTATAGAAATATACTATCTGATATATTGCCATATTTAATATTGGTACTTCTCATTCTCTTATTTATTCTTATTCTTTTATTTACTATATACTTTTCACACGAATCTTCCAAGACTTCTTTACTTACACTGTAAATTATTACTATTATTATTTTTTCTACTATTATTTTTACATTCTTTTTCTTTTTTTGCGTCTGAGGTGCAAACTAACTGTTGTGGTCTCTGGCAGAATGACCAGCGCTGTGGAACACGTCTGCTCCACAGCATAATGCTGAGCGAGAGCCAGTTACAACCACAGCGCACACATATTAAACACTTAAAATGTACTTTATTCCTTTTTTTCTTTCAATTATTTTTTTGTTATTTTTCTTTATTTATTATTATTATTTTGTTTCTGTGTGTGTGTTTCGTTAGAAATAAATGTTATGTTTGTATGTCTCTTGCATAGGAAAATATTTGCCTGTAGATACTGTAACAGCTAACAAATTCGGTAGATATAATGATGGTAAAAATCCCATAAAAAAATAACTCGTAATGAATTTTAACTCAACCTACATTTAAGGGTTCATCTGTTTAATGAAGGAGGCCTTTTCAGCGGGATTTCAAAATTCTTCAGAAACACGTTGAATGAAATCCTTGTATGCGGTGGTCATTTGAAAAGCTAAGATACTGTAGGTTAATGAACTTGGTTATAAATAGAATTTTTAAATTTCGAATATGACCGTGTGGAAGGTCAATTTCCAAATAAAATATGTAATTACAAATGCGACAATTGTAATGTAATTTTCAATATTTTTTTTAACGTAATAAAATAAAAAAATTTTTTATAAAATCTAAAACCCTCTTTCAAGATGAATGCCTCCTCCAATAAGGACCAGAAGAAAGGGTTTTGACATTATAAGTAATTATATAGAACTGCTTTCGTAAGTGAGCACGCTTTAAATATTCTTTCAACGGATTAATTAAAATTTTGTAATTGTTTTAAATTCAAATGAGATATTTTTTTTCCTCTTCACAGCGAGCCGTGAGAGTGAAGGTGACTCTCGCGGATACCGATCTGCAGAGGAACAGGCGCGGGAGCTGGCCAGGTCCATCCGGCGTGAGGTCGCCAAGTTAGCTGACAAGTGGAACTCTCTTGTTGATCGAAGTGACGCCTGGGGCCACCGTCTTGATGATGCTGTACAGGTAATGTGAAGATTTTTTGTATTAAATCCGACCTTTCATTAAAATATAGTTGTATCTGTGTGCATTAATGTGTGTGTCAACATCGTAAAGGAAAAAATATATTTTGTGTTTAGATGTTCACGTTTTATTCATTCATGTTCACGTTCACAGATTGTTAGAACTGAATTAAATTGTTTTTAAAAATTAATTTCAGCGCCATCTACCGCTGTTGTTTGTAATGATTAAAAACATCGATAATATCGTTACTTAAAGCTTCTTCAGAGTATCATAGATGTCAGTTATTATTTAGTTTTATTTAGTTCGTAAAAATTTGACGTTTAGTGGCCTTTCAAAAATATAAAGCCTCATTTATTGGTATTCTAAAAAAACTCTTTTGTAATACTTATTTAGATCTTAGGACCGGATATCCTCTATTGATTGAAATTATTCATCTAAAATCTTCGTGGATATGCATGGCCATGCACAAAGTTTAAGCTTCAAAGATTAAGTGCACAGATGATAACACAATTTGTCTTTTCTCCAATCACTATTAATAAAGTATTAACTTATACGATACTATTTTCTAAAATTGTACTAGTCATGCCTTAACATGATTTTATACAAAATATAAAATTTTACGTCTATGTATATTGTTATTTTTGGCTGCCTTTGTCCTTCAATATGCGCGAAATTCTTAAAGGTCCAAGATTTCCACTCTCATTTATAACTTTTCTTTAGCAGCCTTCGTCGTCTTACCCGAAACTATCAGCCTCAAAATCTCCTGCATACCAAATAGTATGGAGGCGGTGCCTCCATGAGGCACAAGGCATAAACTAATTTCCCATAGGTGACTTATTCTATGACATGAAGTATGGACGATTAATATCTATAGCCGAGATGTGATCACGCCCGACCCGACCTGAATATCTCGTGCTCAATAAGCCTGATCTATCCTTTATACTGGAAGTGCTTTATTAAAAATTATTTTAGTTATAATTTGTTTAAAGACAAATTTAACTCTAATAAATTACTGTTCAATTTTGTTTACAACATCAGCTCCAAAATCTTGATGCCGTGTGTCAGGCACAGAAGGTAGATCATCTACTTGCCTATTAGAATAAAACAAATGATTACGAAATTTCACTGCTAAAAAGCACTGCTGTTTTTGATGTTAATTGAGATTGTATGCAATTGGTAAGACATAACGAAACTTAGCACGAACTGTACCGTATGTCAAAATACATATTTGATGAATGAGAGTGTTACCCTAAGTGTAAATAGAGGATATTCTGAAATTCCATTGACAAAGAGAAATGAAAGGGTTACCATAAAGGGGACCTTTGACTCTTAGAGCTGTCATAATACATCAGCTTGACAGAATATATTAAAAAATATAGAAATTAGGTAAAAATTTCTGCATTCGTTATATTGATTTATTTTTTCAGGCAAATATCGGCCTTCTCTGCTTGATACCATATAGGGCTTAAGATCCCATTTCTTACGATGTTTTTTGTAAAATTGCATACATTAGAAACTCTGTAGTTTTTGACATGTAAAATTTTCTAGATATATAAAATTGATATAATAATATTTTGTTCCGTCTATATCGTTTATATCTGAGTTAATTGTTGAATATCAAACAAGATTAATTGCTTGACTATTGTTCGATATGCAACGAGGGCATTGCAAGGGGGTATGACGCTCCCGAGTTCCGATGCGATTATACAATCTTGCTTATTTAAATATTTTTCCATAAATTGCTGTCTTAAAAATATAAATGTTAAAGGTTTTCATACATATTCCGTGGTGCAGTAGTAGTGGAGCAGTGTTGTAAATTCGATCTCCGGCTGTGCACCAATGGACTTTCTGTGTAATGTCTATGTGCGCATTTAACATTCGTTCGTACGGTGAAGGAAAACATCGTGAAGAAACCGGCTTGCCTTAGACCCCTAAAGTAGACGGCGTGTGTCAGGCACAGGCGGCTGTTCACCTACTTGCTTATTAACTCAAACTCAAAATAACTTTATTCATACATACATACTTTATTTATACACACATTCATATTCAATAGATACAGAAATCTGAGGCCCAGACCTAAAAAGGTTGTAGCGCCACTGATTTTTTTTTATACATAGTAATGTTAGTCTATACTCTTTTACTCGTCTATAATAATAATAAAAATAATTGCACCGTATTTATTCTTTGAAACATTCATCTATCTATACAAAAGATACTCATACTTAAAATTTTATACATTTACTAGTGGACCCCACAGACGTTGTCCTGCATGATATTTAAAGCGATTAGGATATTAAGCAAAGTATGAAAGTACCGACTGCAGTGCCATCTGCCGGGCTGATTTGTGAATCTAAACCATTCCCAGATCCCCTTGAACACACACAAAAAATTTCATCAAAGTCGGTCCAGTCGTTTAGGAGGAGTTCAGTCACATACACACGCACACAAGAAATATATATATTAAGATATTTTTTTCAAGGACCTTATAGAGTGTACGCCTCCTCCACCGGACTCCATCTCTCTATATAAGCGTTTTTCTCCCAATCTTCTCTCAAGAGGGCAACCTTTCATTCCAAGAACTATTATACTCAAATAAACATTAATTATTACTAATAAATCCAATAGATATTTCTATCGTACTTATTTGAGAAATTTCAATTAATTAAAATCGTAAATACCCTTTATCGATAACTTGACCAGTGATAAAACCGGAAATTGGACTGAAACCGGACTTTGGTATAGGATTATTGGACACCCAGCTTTGTAAATACAAACCGTTTACTACGACATCGTTAAGAACAACATAACCGGTTACATTGACCAAAATCAAACGTCCCGGCTGAATTATATTGCATTAGGTACTTATAACAACGTCAACGACTATCGGGTTTTACGACCAAATATGAGTAGTCCCTTCGATGTCGTCATAACAGATTTTGTCTGTAATTGCATCTTTATTTTTTTAACAAATTAAACACAATTTATATTACTGACAGCTCGATTATGCATACAATATTGCATATTACACGACATTTGTTCTATTTAAAATATGCTTTTTCGTGCTTTTGTTTTGTTCAAAACTTTTCCAGACAAAAATCATCTTTGGTTATCTATTACGGTAGCTATTTGATGCTACTATATACAAACAGTTCTTAGACTGAACAATATAACAGGATTGATTCCTATGAAAGGGGTAGCTTTCTGAATAGGATACCTCCCGTAGTTAGTTCGTTGGTCAAACGTGCGCAAACGAACATGTGACCGCATGAACTTTGAAATGAACATAGTTTGATTTCCGACTACCGCCTTGACCGCACAGTTGCAGGCGTATTGATTTAATAACATTTGTAATTTGAATAGTTATGATTGGAATATTGGTACAAATATTGGGTGTTCGGATCACGAATAAACTTAGTGTTTAAGAAAAAGTAATTAATTTAGATCTACCTTCCTGTTAGCAGAGTTTTCACAAATAATATTGTGTTTGCTATGTGTAGGCTTAAGAGTTATTTACAAGAATCTTTTATATTTAATTATATTAGATAGATTTCCCTTCTTGGGGAGCGTTCAAGTAGTACGTAACGAATTTTGGGGGTGGGGGGGTTTAATATGCGGGGCGGGGATTGAATTACGCGTAATTGTTCATATTATTTCCGACTTTCCAGTAGTTTATACCACATAATGGTAACTTTTAGGTATAAACTGTCACTGGGTGGTCCAACAAAAGAGCGTACCAATTCATAAAGGCTGGCATTTGCGAGCCCTCTGGCTTTGAGAGTGTCCATGGGCGTATCACTTAACATCAGGTGAGCCTCCTGCCAGTTTCCATAAAAAAGACCGATTCGATTCACAATTAAAATCGCTACGTTACGACCTACGTTACGAGAATTTTATATTTTATTCTCAGTCAAATTTGTACTATTCAAAATCGTACAAGAAATAATGAGAAACTTGTAGTGTTCTTTAAAATATAAAATAATCGCAAATGAGTTGCGAATCGATTCGTTTGTCGATAACAATGCCGCGAGTTCGTTATCGAAGTCGTTATGCGACCACTTGCGACGAGCACTAGTGATGTCAATTTATCGATGTACAACTAATTGGCTGTATTTCGAATGTAATTGATTCCATTGTAACATTGTAGTACTATTGTAACGGGTAGATATTTTACATAGGTTTTTGTTTTATCCCTAATCGAGTTTTTATCAACTAGACCATTTGATAACAGAATGTTACACGTTTATTTTTTCAACAATAAGTCTTAAAATTAATAAAAAAACATTTTTTTACAAGACGCCCAAAAAGGGCAGTCATCGCAGCCCGTGGACATCCATTTTGGTGGGTGCGTTGGCGGCCTGTAAAATCGTTTAGTAGCGATATAGATAATACCATTAAGTAATTAAATGTATCGATAATATATGTATAATATGGTAAAAATATCGATAAATCCAAGTAACATCATTAGTAACATGAATGGCGGTTTACATCGAGCTGGAGCTCGTTAGCATCACTGAAATGATTGAATCAGATCCTCTTAAGACTCTTTCCGAAACTTCATCAAATTTGACCATACACTGTGAAATTCTGTCTCACCGAACGTGGAAGTATGCTAGAATGTAACTCGTCTGTTTAGGCTCCGCATGAAACGAAATACTGTCTTATGTTGGAGTACAGAATAAATTGACACGATTCCTTTATTACAGACTGTATGGCGTCTATAGGTAATAATGTAGCCAACATTCGGATTTGTTCGGAATAATAACAGCTACCTAATATTTTTTACATAATTATGTTGGGTGTGTATGTGAATAAATAAAATATATTAAAAAAAATCATGACTTTATCCCATTACCATGGGGCATTGGACATTTTAATGCGGAATGACCCAAGACAACGCTGTTCATTGTGTAAAGTATTAATGAAAAATGCAGAAAAGTTAAAGGTTGTATTAAAATTATAAACATTAATACATAAAAACTAAATTATTCTAACGCCTCTAATGTATAGCTGTCTGTTTTTATCACAGCGCAAACATTTGACAGAAAGAGACAAAATATAAGTTATAACATTGCAATAAGATTTAGTAAAAATAATGAATACAAACTACATATAGGTACAAAAGTTTCGTTAAAAATAGCGCGCTATGTACATATCTCTATATATATATATATATATATATACAATTCTCGTGTCACAATGTTCGTTCCTATACTCCTCCGAAACGGCTCGACTGATTCTTATGAAAATCTTTTATGCATATTCAGTAAGTCTGAGAATCGGACAACATCTATTTTTCATCCCCCTAAATGTTAAGGGTGGTTTTGTTTTTAAAATAACGCTTAGTTGTCACCCCTCTACGATCAACTTCTATTTTTTATTATAGTAGATCGTTATTTTTATTGAACTAAAAAAATGTTTCCTAGAAATAAATATACATGGCAAACCGACGTTTGCCGGGTCAGCTAGTATTATTATAATTTTACAGTGACAGGGTAGCAAGACTGTTTTACTTAAGTTTTTGGCTTTTTCGTGGGTCGCGACATAAAAATGGTTGAAAAATGATGCCCTAACGTACAAAGCCATGATTTGTTCCTTCTACCAACACGTTTACCCTGGATTTTACCTTGATATTAATTGAAGGAGGTGGTAGCGGTCATGATTAGCAGTAATTTTCAACTAAAGTTAACCCTAGTGTATACATTGTGCCAATCACCAGTTATCAAGTGTACCAGAGGTCGTTGGTCTCGCAATACTGTCGAGCCATCACCGTTTAATATATTCATGCGCACGCCCCACTGTTTACTCTCATAATGTACAGA